TTTTTACTACAGACATCAGGTTATACTACTAGAATATACCAAGTTTTTACTACAGACATCAGGTTATACTACTAGAACATACCAAGTTTTGACTACAGACATCAGGTTATACTACTAGAACATACCAAGTTTTGACTACAGACATCAGGTTAAACCACTAGAATATACCAAGTTTTTACTACAGACATCAGGTTAAACCACTAGAACATACCAAGTTTTTACTATAGACATCAGGTTATACTACTAGAACATATCAAGTTATACATCAGGTTATACTACTAGAATATACCAAGTTTTTACTACAGACATCAGGTTATACTACTAGAATATACCAAGTTTTTACTACAGACATCAGGTTATACTACTAGAACATACCAAGTAACACATCAGGTTATACCACTAGAATATACCAAGTTTTTACTACAGACATCAGGTTATACTACTAGAATATACCAAGTTTTTACTACAGACATCAGGTTATACTACTGGAACATACCAAGTAACACATCAGGTTATACTACTAGAACATACCAAGTTTTTACTACAGACATCAGGTTAAACCACTAGAATATACCAAGTTTTTACTACAGACATCAGGTTAAACTACTAGAACATACCAAGGTTTTTACTACAGACATCAGGTTAAACCACTAGAATATACCAAGTTTTTACTACAGACATCAGGTTATACTACTAGAATATACCAAGTTTTTACTACAGACATCAGGTTATACTACTAGAACATACCAAGTTTTTACTACCAGGTTATACTATTAGAATATACCAAGTTATACATCAGGTTATATTACTAGAACATACCAAGTTTTTACTACAGACAACAGGTTATACTACTAGAACATACCAAGTTTTTACTACAGACATCAGGTTATACTATTAGAATATACCAAGTTTATACTTAAGTTTATCATTTAAGATAGGAGGATTTTACATGAGGATAAAATTTATCTTACTGAAAGTTACTAGATAAGCTTTTCTATTTTTACATTAAAACTTTCTCACACTATTGTCTTCAATACATATAACAAATGATCTTATTATTATTTATAATCCTACAATGTGTTTACAACATGAGTAGCACTACCAATACTATTAAATCCTGATGAAAAAATATACAGTGCATACTTACACTGTGGTTTCCGGTTCCTGACCCAGGGCCTCTAGGAAAATTCCCATGGGAGTCCTTCGCAAACCGACAGTTTCAATCCTGTTTGTCAGCTTGTTCTTGAAGTTTCTTAACCTCAGTGAAGCATGAATAATTATCACTTCAAAAGAAATGAAACAGGAAGTAAAGCATGAATTATTATCACTCCAAAAGAAATGAAACAGGAATTGAAGCATGAATAATTATCACTTCAAAAGAAATGAAACAGGAATTGAAGCATGAATAATTATCACTTCAAAAATGAGGAAACAGGAACTAAAGCATGAATAATTATCACTTCAAAAGAAATGAAACAGGATTTGAAATACAAATTCTAGAAACTTGCTTAATCCAGTTCACTGAAACAGTTCTTGTTCAAGTAACTGATGATATAAATATTGTTTTGACCACTACTATGTCTGTCATATCCCAGTCACCTTAACGAGCCCTGGTTTTGGGCAAAAGGCCTAATCAGCACTGGATATATCAGATATAGTGTGGTTGACACATTACTGCATTCTTATTTATTTTTGCTCAAGTTATTTAATTGCCTGAAAAACAAATTGAATTTATTACACAATATATTATATGAAGTGAAAATATATACATCTGTTTATTAATTAATCATCTGGTTTATACTTTAGTGTTTGTGTATACACCAGTCATGATAAAAAACGTTCAGGGACTAGACCAATATTCTTTCTCCAGTTCTGTAGCTCTTACAATACATGTACAGTGAACATTTTCATGAAGATGTATTGTTTACAGGAAATATTAATTGTTGCTTTACTTATGAGTAGTGCTAATAACAATGAAAACAGAAACTTCTAACTGCTTAAACCTTATAAGCTACAAACTGACTTTACTATTTACTTATGTCCATAGTAGCTACTCACGTAACAGTGGAAGTGTAATCCCAAAGAGGAATATAATGACAGTTCCAAACATGTAAACAATGAAGTAACCACCTGGAATTAGAAACTTCTAACTGCTTAAACCTTATAAGCTATAAACTGACTTTATTAGTTACTTATGTCCATAGTAGCTACTCACGTAACAGTGGAAGTGTAATCCCAAAGAAGAATACAATGACAGTTCCAAACATGTAGACAATGAAGTAACCACCTGAAATTAGAAAAAAAGTTGAAGTAACCATCTGGAATTAGAAACAAAGTTAAAGTAACCACCTGGAACTAGAAACAAAGTTGAAGTAAACACATGAAATTAGAAACATAGTTGAAGTAACCACCTGGAATTAGAAAAAAAGTTGAAGTAACCATCTGGAATTAGAAACAAAGTTGAAGTAACCATCTGGAATTAGAAACAAAGTTGAAGTAAACACATGAAATTAAAAACAAAGTTGAATTAACCATCTGGAATTAGAAACAAAGTTGAAGTAAACACATGAAATTAAAAACAAAGTTGAAGTAACCATCTGGAATTAGAAACAAAGTTGAAGTAACCACATGAAATTAGAAACAAAGTTGAAGTAAACACATGAAATTAAAAACAAAGTTGAATTAACCATCTGGAATTAGAAACAAAGTTGAAGTAAACACATGAAATTAAAAACAAAGTTGAATTAACCACCTGGAACTAGAAACAAAGTTGAAGTAAACACATGAAATTAGAAACAAAGTTGAAGTAAACACATGAAATTAGAAACATAGTTGAAGTAACCACATGGGATTAGAAAAATGAAGTAACCACCTGGAATTAGAAACAAAGTTGAAGTAACCACCTGGAATTAGAAACAAAGTTGAAGTAAACACATGAAATTAGAAACAAAGTTTAAGTAACCACATGGGATTAGAAAAATGAAGTAACCACCTGGAATTAGTTTATAACAGCAGTTTTTGACAACAAATAAATACATTGAAATACCATGTAAACAAATGATAATTTTCACACAGCTAATGATAACATTCTGTGATGGCTCATATGTAAACATTGTCATTAAAACAGTTTACAGTTTTGTTTTTAAAAAAAAGTCTGGCTTGTTCCTTCAAGATGTATTAATATACTTGCCAGAAATGTTTTGTAACATCAGTCTGATAACCATATGATGTGTAACTTTGACATATATCTAGCTGTCTATAAATAACATTGCAGGTAAAAAATATACCTGACCAACTTACAGCAACAGCATAACTTTGATTTGAATAGTGGAGAGGGGGGGGGGGTATAGTTTCTGTAGCTGGGTATGCATGAGAGCATCCTATCAGAAAATAAAAAAGGAATTTCACTTTGAAAAGGTGTGGGTGGCACATTCCCCAAATCACCCATGAAGATACTGATTGGCAAATGAAGTTGTATTTGTATGTGTAGAAGTTTCATTAACTAACCATTTTACTTTAGGGATGATATTAAACGTCTTTACTGGAACAACTGTCAGAGAGTTGACTCACTCAATACAATTTCTGAACCAAGATGGTTAGGTACAAAAACTTGAATACTGTTTGTATTAATTGTTTGGAGAAATGAAAAGTGGCTAAGAATAAGATACTCTTACTTTAATTATCATCATCGTTTAACATGATATAACAGTCTTACTTTAATTATCATCATCGTTTAACATGATATAACAGTCTTACTTTAATTATCATCATCGTTTAACATGATATAACAGTCTTACTTTAATTATCATCATCGTTTAACATGAT